TGAATATGTTCTGCAACAGCTTGCACATAGTGATCCTAAATCCTGTATGCAGTGAGAGATTTCTATGCTGTATTTGTGTTTCTGATAGCACCTCACCCATAGCGAATGTCAGACAAATATGCAGCTGTTATGGCCATGGCTATGCAAACTTGCATTTGGCAGAAGCCTCTCCTGCAACATTAGTTTTGGTCATCCTTCAGTGGCTAGTCAGGAAACAAAGCCACACCTTGGAGAATTCTGGTAACACAGAATGACACATATCTTCAGTGAAGTTGTTTAGAGAGCATCTAACAACTTTGTGAATTTTTCAAAGAGATGCATCATTACAGAAATCTGGATTAGTCCTAAGGTCACCCTTATAGCAGAGTTGAAACCTGTAGAATTGATTCCTAATACCACTGTACATGAATCCCTGTATTTTCTCTGAATGGAAAGAGTAGTTCTTCCCCAGGGTCCTTCTTACTTTCCCAACTCAAAAAAATCTTGACAATTCTTTCAAAAGGAACCATTATTTGTTGCTTTAGTATTCTTCAACTGAACTATGCAATACATTTTTATGTTGTGTGCAAGAAATACAAGAGGCCCCTAAAATCGTTTGACAGGGCAAACTTTGTGAAAACTCATAGACTCAGGAAGATCAGATCTGTTGGCAGGAAGCATAAAGAGGGGATTTTCTTCTTTATAAAAAAAGGGATTGGCATTCAAGTATATTCATTCTATTATTTTTAAGCCACAATAGTAAATCATAACAGACAATCTGAAAAAAGGGAATTTATTTAACACAAAGAAAAAGTGGTTTTTAAGAATATCTTCCTCTGAAATAGCACCTTACATTTCAACTTTTGAATCATTATTCTCAAGTTGCTGCAAGTGCCCAGTGTGATGGAAAGTCACCATGACAACCACCACATCTTATTGTATTTTTATATTGAGGGAATTAACATCCTGCTATGGTTGTGATTTTTGATTCTTGGGTTGATATGTGAAATTCCTTTGGATATAAACCACCTCATTCATGGACTGTATCAAGCTGCTTTTATAAGAACTAAGAGTTGTGCTCCTCCCAGGACATCATTTGTTGCCTGAGAACAAAGATACAAAATGAGAGACATTCAGGTCATTTGTGATTTGAGATTCCTTCTGAAAGCAAATTTTGAAACATTGAATGTGCTTTGAAAAAAGAGGAGGAGATTGGGACTTCAGCAGCTTGGGATCTTCAAAGACTTTGGTTATTCTGTCTGCAAACATCTGCAGATTAACAGCAAAATATAGGCCCTGGCTATTTCTTCTTCTCTGCTGAGCTGTTGCTGCCTGTTGGGAGCACTCTGTCCTCACACTGCACATGGGTTAAATCCAGCAAAGAGCCTGTGTGCTGCTCCTGGCATTGTCTAGGTATATATATATATATAATATGTAACAACGAAGAAAAAAGTGGCAGAAGAATTCCAAAAAGGTCCTCTTTTGAGGACCTCCCTGACACAGGAAAGCGACACAGCTATTATTATTTTCCACTCCTGAAAGAAATATAAATACCAGATTTGAGATTTCTCCTTAGCTATCATCTTCCCTCCACTGAAAGAGAAAGCCTAATGTTCATGCCAGCAGCCTAAGGACATGTAGATTTTATTGCTGGAAATAACATGTAGATTTTGTTGCTGGAAGCCTAGGCACATACATTTTAGGAGACTGAAAGAATATTCTGGGAAAGGCTGGCTTCTTATTTGCTTTGGTTTTGAACTGTTCTGCAGCTATCCATTTCAGGCCATCATATGAGATTCAGGACACATGACCTTCTGATCAAAGAGGTGTATTGAGATACTATGTTGTACTCCTTTACTGCCTAGTCCTATAATCTCGTATTGATATTGCTACTAGCCTTTGGTAGTAAATTACAGTCAGGCTTACTTCACCTTAAAAAAGTCTGCCTACAGTTTATTTCAGTGAATTCAGTTGTAACAGACATTTTTCTGATTTACCAGATGCTATTTTTTTCAATTTTTCTTAGCTTTGTGTGGTTTAATCACTACCATAATGATGTAGTTTAGAGAAAACCATATTTGGTATGTCAGCAGAATCCTTGGGAATGGAGGCAGAGGATGTTGTGAAGAGGAGTGCTACAGGCATGGGAGGATAGCAGACAGAGTATGAGGCTGACAGTGGAGACACCACAACCATGTGCTCTGCCCCCTGAGTTCCACACAGGAGGCCCCAGAAGTAAGGCAAGCACTGTGGAGGGAAGCCTGAGAGTGTCTGGCTTGGTGCTGGCCATGCAAATCAAGCTGTAGTCCCACAGTACTACAAGATGAGGCTGCATCAGGGCTTTATTGTCTGGGCTGTTCTGCTGTGAAAACACTTAGCTCCTGCGTGTATGTACACAGGACATGTTTACAAACACTAAGATCTCAGCAGGCAGCCATCCCTGTGTGAAATGCAGCTCCTGGCCTACCTTATGATGTCAAAAGACATGTGGATGGGATGACTGATATTTGGTCTATGAGTTCAGACAGGAGCTGATTTAGCCTGTAGCTTTTCAAGACAGAATTGATTCTTTCTAAAGCAGTGCTGACAGCTTGTTTGTTTAATGTTCTCTATCTACCTTTTCTAATGGGAATCATCCTTTACCAGGCAGGCAGTGTTTGACTCTCACTGTTATTGCCATTAGAAAATACTTCCCTAAGTCTAGTAGAGATCTACCATGGTGCAGTTGCAGCACACAGAATTAGTCCTTTCTGTTTCTGTGAGTGTGTGTATGTGTATGTGTGTGTGTGTTTGCTGTTTTTATTTATGTGCTAGGGTATTTTGGTTTTGGTTTTAGTTCTGTTCTGTTTTGTTTTGTTTGTATTTTCTTCCTACTCTGAATCATTTAGGACTTGTGTTTCTGTGTTTCAGTCATGATCACAAGAAAATATTTTCATCCTTAAAAAAAAGGAGAATGTGCTATAAGACCTTACAGAAAGACTTCCATGAATGCTGTAGTCAAGGCCAGTTGCAGGGGCAGACAAGACAATTCCTTCGTCTCTGGAGTCAGATTCCTTAGTTGTATAGTTTCTGCTTTCGTTTAGCAAAGCACAGGTTTCTCCAGGCTACTGTTTGAAGAGAGAACACAGCCAATGAGAAAAGGTCCTATGAACACTGAGGCCTATATGTAGGAGCTTAGCTCCTGTTTAGATTCCCAGGTCCCATTAGAAAGAAGATTGGAGCATATACTAGACAGGAAGATGCTTTCATGTGTCATTGCCTGACAACGCTGCAGGGGCCACTGCTATATGGCAGGGCTGTGATGGGACCTGTAGTGCATGGCTAACAGAGGGAAAAGATGGGGGGCAGGTGAGGTCAGTGGAAAACTGATCAATATAGGTCAGTCTCAGTATCAGGTAGCTCTATCTCACTGATAGCTTCTGTCCTTTCCAAGAAAAAAGAAAGGAAGTGCGGAAGGAAGTGTGGAAGTGCGGAAGGAAGGAATCGTTCCACTGTGTGGATCTGTGAGGAGTTCCTTTAAAAACAGATGTTCTAAGTTGAAATGAAGTCAAACAAAACAAGATTGTATCAACGATTTATTGCCAATGGAAAGGGAAAAAGGGGGTGAGGGGGAGGGGATGGGGAAGGGGGGGGGGGGAGGGGGATGG